AATTTCCAACAACGTTAATTTTCAACGCCTGTTTCATATTTATTCGCTATGTTTTTAACTAGACTTTTCGCCAATGACTATTTCGGAGTTCGCCCTCGAATTGCGGTATGCGCGAATTAATTTTAGTGCACAGGAAAACTAATCTGGATTTTGCGGGCACTGGCTCATTATCTCTGTGAACTGCCGAGGGCGCCGCGATATCGCGTGCTTTGAAATTCATTTATTTGAGTCATCCATCTTCATGAAATATGAATATCTCCCAAATTATGTGCACGTGTATTGCATTAAAATTCCCCTGAATAATCGCTCAAATATTTTTCATTAATTAAGCAGAATGTAAAGAATCGTGAAAAAATGTGCAGTGCATTTATCATAACAATATCTTGTAGAATTTATTGCTTATGTTACTAGCATGCCTGACGAATATAACCAAAAATTCAAACTGTCGTAAGCTAACACAATTAAGCGTTTAGAAGTCTTAAAAACAAAATCTGTTAACTACCTTTACTAGTTAATAAAAATTTTATGCACTGAATCTGCAGCATTAATTTTTTGAGATGGATCGTCATTTGTTCATCGATGCAACTTGAAAGGATGGCTTTCCACTCAAGTTACCACTCAACAAACAAATAATACTTACTTGATAAAATATTGGGATATTTCTCGCTTTGAAACTGCATCCTTAAAAACACAGTAATTACACAGTTTTGTATTTATAGTTAAAATATAGGCGTTACACATAGATTCTCAATACCCGTATTTCCTCCGATGAATTTCCTTTGGATAAATTACGTAAATTTCATCGTGTCAAAAATTGGTGGGAAAATGTCCACCGAAGGACCGCCGTTAGCTCTGGCATTTGGTCTACCGGTTCGCGGGCGCGCGCTAAATTGAGGAACCGTGAGCACAATTTGTTTTAGACGGGCGATCTGAAATCGCATTCACTTCGTTTATTGATAAGCCCGCTTCATGGTAAATTCTTTCTGATGTTTTGAAACAATGGAAGTGTATCTGACGGTGATTAATTTATTCCTCCAGATTCACTAGATGAATAGAGCGTTCACAGGTAAGTGATGCATCAATTATTGCAGCATCACATAATTTTATTATTCTTCATTAAAATGTAGGAACCAAAATTGTTAACGATCGTATCTTTTGCTATTTCATGTCATTTCGTGAGACCAAAAAATTCTAAATTAAATTAGTTTTTTTTTCTCTAGCTGAATGCAATTTTTTATTGGAAATGGCAGAATACTTAAAAAAATTCGCGTAATCTATATTATACTAAAAATACTTCAGAATACTTCACACAATCTATCATATTGTAAAGCTCCTACTCCTAACGTGAACGTCACTTACAAGTTTATCGCAGCTCTCACTTGAAGGATGAGGTTACACTGAAGGGACGCCTGTTGCCCAGCTTATCCCACTTGGCGGGCGGCTTGTCAGGATATTTCAGCTCAACACTTCCTGGCAGCTCTTCCCTGAGGCGCCTGGCGAGGCGCAGGAGAGCCTGGCGAGGCGTAGGAGAGCCTGGCGAGGCGCAGGAGAGCCTGGCGAGGCGCAGGAGAGCCTGGTGAGGCGCAGGAGAGCCTATTGAGGCGCAGGCTCCGGGCATGGCCATGGCACTTGTGGTGGCGTAAGACGATGTGTAGAAAATTTTAAGATAAAATTTAAGAACTTGTTCTGGATCGATGATCTAAATAGGTGGTAGCGTTATATTATAATGAAATTTCTTAAGAGCATTAAGCTAAAAACTTTTAATAGCATTCTAAAGTGATTCATTATTCTTTCATTTATTTATTTGTAATCATTCGTGGCCTATAATGTGCTTTTTTAAATCGTAAAACTCCCTGCATGGATACTATCTCTATACTATATTTTTTCACCGTTTGAATTGATATTTCCAAGGAATTTTGAGTACAATTCGTAATTCTCAATACCGCAATTCATATGACGTGCAATTGGGGGAGTGAGGCAGCTGCCGTCGACATGGATTATTCAAATTTTGACTCATGCCACCCGACGCCAAAACCAAAGCCTGAAATAAAGATTCAATGGCCGATATTTACGAGACATCATTCGGGGTTTTGACAGCCGCGCTTGGATTCGTTACAAAATCTACCCGTCAGGATATCGATAAATCTTAGAGACGTCTATTTTTCCACCCAGAAATACGGACGACAGATCATATGCGTTACGAAATTTTTTGTTTGGCTGAAATCTTTGAAATCTTTGAAAATACTTCCGATAAATTTCAAAGGTTTGTGATTCAAAGTTCTGTCTATTGATTTCACCATTAGAGCCATGCATGAATCGGTTTCAATTGTGATTATAAATATTTAAAGAGTCTATAAGCAGGTAGTAAAAAAGTACGGATTTAAATCTGAAATTTTTGTATCATAGGTATATGCAGATACTTTTTGTGTACCCCGATCTTGTCCATAATTCAGTTTTGGAAAAGTCCGCTTTACTAAAATATGACTTTTGTAATTAAGCCGAAAAGCTTCCAGTTATTTTTCCTAGAGCAATTTCCACACTGTATTTATTTTCGGCGAAAAAATTCAATTTGTTTTAAAATTATTTTCAAGTGAATTTTGTTATTTTACACCATGGTTTCGTCTTCTTGATCTGTGGAACAATTTGTTGAAGAGTTATTGCAGCAACGTTGATACTGAGAAACCATTTTTCTTTTTCCTTTGGGGAGACGTGAATTTTTCGGTTGCTCGCTGTAAACAGTCAGATTCATGCACGTGTGCAGAAATTTTAGCATAAAATATTTGTTCCTAGACATCAACACTATTTGTCTAGAAAAACGATCAGCGTTTCTATTGATCGTTGTGATTCATTATAGATCCTACGTCAATGGTAACATCGAATTACCGTATAAGAAGTAGTTGGTTAAACCAATACCTATAGATAATGCTTGCAGTCGTGTAAATTTCAAAGTGATGGACGACAACTTCTTTCAGGATATAATCAACAAGCGAGCAATTATTTTAATTTGAATTTTCATTCATTACTCCGAATTAAAATTGAACAGGTGATCGAATTAATTTATCTGTTGAATTCAATGCGCTCATTGTGTTTGGAGCAACCATCGCTAAGTCTTGCGCGCTAAAATAGTGTTTACATCCGAAGCTCATATGAAGTATTTTTTCTAATGTTTCAAAGAAAAGAGAATGGAAATAATATCATTGTTAACAGTTAGGTTGTGACAATTTTAACATAACATTGAATTGCGTAACATTGTACATTTACGATTTCTAGTTTTCACCGCTTTAACTAAAACTGCGATTTTAACCTATATTCATATTCTAAAAGTAGCTGTTTGATGAACATCTCTGCGCAAATCACTTACCGATCGAGGTACACTTCATTCTAACATCAAGTATGAAAACCCTGTTTATAATTAACAGCTTACGGTCTTTAATGCTTGCTGGAAGTCGGCCTTTGAATTCCAAACAATCGCCGGCATTAGTCGGTTGCCGAGGACCACTTAGAATCGCTGTTGTTTGGAGATAAAACGTGGCAAGTATGAGTCTAGAAATTAAACTCGCTGCAAGACAGCACACGGTTGAGGAAGCATCTTATTACGTCTTAAAAAAGGGCTCATGAGATTCATATAGTAGGACGGGCTTACGAAAATACTTTTGAGATTTTTTTCTCTCGGCGAAGGAGTGTTAATTTTCCCCGTTTCCAAACATTATATTTTAATTAGTATTTTTTTTACAGCAGACACGCTGTCACTTTCGCTTTTTTATTTATTTTATCATACTTACTTTCTATCAGACAAAGTTTCGTTGTTTTATTCATAAACTTTGCTGTCTGTTATAAGACTTATATCTTTAGTGAACCTTTCTTTAGTGGAGGTTGCAAACGAGCCACGTGTGAATAATTCCAGCTCGTAGGATTGTCGGAAGCTCTTAAGTGTTCATGTCTGCCATAAGCACGCGCTGAGTAACATATAAACGCAAGAATAAGAACAACTTTTTATGGGTACTGGGAATGTTTACGGGCTGCTTAGAAATTTTTACATTATCTTCTGTAATTTAGGAATGAATTGTTTATGATTTTATTGGTAAAAAATTTGAATCGGAAGTAAAATGATATTGTGAACTCCAAGTTTCATTATTTGAAGACGACTAAGCTCAAGAACTTGGCTTGGTGATTAATAAGATCAAAGAAAAATGTTATAAAGGCAGAATTTTTGTTATTTCTAATACGCAACAAAGATGATTTTTCTCAAGCTAGTAATATTTGTATCAAGTGAAATATTTGTCAATATCTCTCTTTAGAAAAGAAAGATATTTTTTCAAGGTTTGGAAATCGGAAATAAATTTGTTTATTGAAAGGGAAAAAATTTAAAAGAGTGGCATTTGAATCAGGTCATTGACGAATGAACATAATATTTTCAATAAAAAATTGAAAATTTTCGGATATTCCTGTTGTTTCCCGTTCCGCCGAGGTTCATATGCAAGTCCAGTCTTTTGTTCCGTTCCTAAAGCAGATTTTGATGCGATAACCGTTATGATTTTTAGCTTACCAGTGGGATAGAATGCTTCATTTTCACTAATTAATTGCAATATTTTAAGTGACGCAAATGATTATTTTTATTATTTTCATAATAAACGCGCTCGTGTCGTCAATGTTTCAGTAATTTCTTCTGTACAGATATTTGGTTTGTTGATGTGGTCTCGTTAATTTTTCCTTGCATAGGCCAGTGTAATTCAACAGAACTACCAATTTGATTTTTTAAAGACTCAAGTTAGAATGAAATCAAAAAATTTTATTGACTGGAAGTGGGTGGAGAGCGTTTCTGCATAAATGACAATGAATGTTCGAAATTGTTTAAATTCCCTTGCTTGAGCTGTTTTCGCAGGCATATAATACTGGATTTGCTGGTGATGGTCTCAGTTTGCAGAAAGTTTGGTTCAAAATGAGAACAGCTCGAGTGAGTTGAAAATATATATAGATAATTCATAGATAGTTCCATCGAACAAATAGTTTTGAAATTCAAATGCAATGTTGAATTTTTCAAACTTGTTTTTGTCATCTAGGGGCCTTGCACTCATGAGATACAGAACACATTGTCTGAGCAGGCAGCGATCCTGATGCGGGATCAACTTCTGAGTCTTTCTCCATCATGTCAGTTTTTTGGGGAGCGTTGTGCACTTCACAATACCAAGCAACTTTTTCCATTCTTTCATTTGAGCCTGGCTTAGACGTCGATATCTTTTTTTCACCACTGACGTTGAGAAAAGGAGCCAATTCATTTGACTTGCGACTCAGAGATGAAAAGTACGGCCGTTTGATATTATCAGGAGTGGAGTCTGAAGTACATGACTGGAGCAGCGGCCATGGAGTCTCGGAGCAGATGGATTCCACTCCATCTGGAACAATGCAGACGAAGGGAAAGGTGATTCATTTCAAGAGAAACATTGAGATCTCAATTTGATGAAGTATTTCCTGAAACAAAGGTTACTTCGGGCTCAAAATTGTCATGCGCTGTAAATAATCACAAACTCGATTGTAGAGAAGTAATTACTGAAAACATATTTTTAATCATGAAGGCAGCATTCACTATACCCAGCGTTTATCTCTTAAAAGTTATTTTCTGCAATGGGTGGGAAAGTTTCAATAAATTTTTCAGTCATGAAACCGCACAAAAAAAAATTAATAATTATTACGCAAAGAAAATTTAAATTCCATCTCTAATAGAATCAGAATAAACAGCAGATATTGAACATGCTGTAGATTAACGGTACGTTAGTAGAGGAAAGTCGGACTTAGTAAATGTATACCTAATACGCGATGGGCTCAACCGCGCATGCATGCTTCTGTACATTGGAGAATATAAGTTCGCGCTTGAAACAGGTTCGTTGACAGAGAAAAGTCTGAGTTTCTTCTGAAAATAGGTTATTGATTGAGTATAATATCAGTTAAGGCTTAAAACGGGTCCGGTCGAGTGAAACACTGGGGTCAACTTATTGCTATCAAAGAGTAGTTTGAAAAAATTTGCAGAAATTAATTAACCAAGCGATTATTTGTCTAGAGTATTATTATATTAAGATGGACACAGATAACAAATAGAAAATTGTGTAATCATTTATCAATTTTCTCTATGAAAGGCAGTTCGGAAAATAAACTTTGATTTTCGAATGGTCCCTTGATTTTGTATTCATTACATCGGCGAAATTTCAGGCGCTTGGTTTTATATCAAATAATTTATTTTATTTTAAGAAATAACAACTATGCAAGGATTGTTTCATTCTCGTCAATAGAAAATTGAAATCAGATGAGATATCCATGAAATGAATTGCAAAACACTGTAAGGAATTAATTTTAAATGGATCCCAAGTTAACGTAACAACTTTTATTGGTGATGTACATATCATGAGTTCATGCGCTGAGAGGAAATAGCTTTCCATTGTACTGTTTTTTTTCGGAATAAGATATATATTTTTGAAGCAAATGCATCATCACAGGGAATTATATTGTGGCGAATAAAATCGCTTTAATCTTTTGTTTTATTTGAAAATGCAGCCAAATGGGCGCAGCAATCTTTACTTATATTTGAATAATATGTAAGCGAGCTGTTCTGCAACGAATCTAATAAACAGAAATATGCGTATTAATGAAATAAATGCATCACAAGATATTCTGATGAAATGACGCGGTAACAGTTGTCAGTATTCAATTGAATAAGTTGTCAAAATAAATCTCTCTTTTGAATTAGTCGGAAGGTTGAATTGAGTTTTTAGTATTTCCAAACCTGCTTTTCAAAAAAAATAATTGCAAGCAAACAACACCGGTGATAGCAGCATTTTTTATGAAAACTTGGTTCTTCTTATTTACCGTTATAACCACTTACTTATAACATCTCGCAGTTTGAATTTGTTGTGCTGGACCTGATCATCGTCTCTATAGCCTCGAGGCGCCATGAGCGTTAGAGCGCTCAGTGGCCCTGAATGGCCAGACTTCGTCACGTCCTCGCCTGATGCATGACACAAAAAAGCGGTCACGTGAAAATAGTTACAGTTCAATTGAGCCGCTTTCTCCAGAAAAAATTTGTCGTCAGATACATTAATCCTCCTTAATGCTAATCGAGTCAAAATGCATTGTAACTTGAGTTACCATCAGTAGACTATAGGGTCAATCTCTATACACCATCGACTACGGACATTTCAGGGTAAATATGCCATAGATTTTGCATCAAAATAACACTTATCAGCTTGGTTAAACCGTCTCTTAGGATTTGTAGGAGAACTTACCTGAGAGGTCGGGGTTGGAGCGCCCTAAGCAAGGCACGGCGTCGGGGTTGGAGCGCCCTAAGCAAGGCACGGCGTCGGGGTTGGAGCGCCCTAAGCAAGGCACGGCGTCGTGCTGGAGCGCGTGCAGCTCGCAGACGCTGGGCGCGAGTGTCGTGTGTGTGGCGGCGCTGGCCGTGTAGCGCACCTCGATGGCGTGGCCGGCTACTGAATTTATTCCTTCACAAGAAAAGGATTCTTTGGATGATGAACTTTTCCTTTGCAGTCCTTCGGAGAGCGCTGCATTTTTCGAAGAAGATTTTGAAAATAATGTCATGTTTTTCAACGATTCTTTAGGAAATTTCTTCTCGCTAGATGGCTCCTCTATGGCAATACTTTTCTTAGATTCTTTAGAAGGCACTTGGGAGTGGGTTGAGGAGTCTATGATTGTTGCGGTTATGACTTGTTGATGTTTTTGTTGACTTGCTGCTCCGTCGACTGACGTTGTCTTGAGTTCGAGTTTCCGGCGCCTTAGAAAATAAGTTGATACTGCAATCGCCAGCAAACCTGTAGAAACAGCCAATTCGACCTTAAAAATATTAACGATAAGCCACAGAAACGAAATAATTTTTAATTACTGAGTAAATGAATAACTAAGAAAGAAAAATGTCTGAAATACTGCATTGTTGATTTAATTATTTAATGAGATTTACGAGGTGTATGTAATTTTGCATGTATTTCATGATATTTACAGGGTGTACGTATAAGTGTGCTAAAAGGGTGTACGCATAATTTTACAGGGTGTACGTATACGTATAAGTGTGTTAAAAGGGTGTACGTATAAGTTTATAGGATGTACGTATAAGTGTGTAAATTAACTGCTGTTTTAACAGACATTAGCACTAATATAACGCCTGATCCTCGTATCTTGCGGTGAGAAGACGCCTCACCATAAATTTGGGAAGCGCTGTAGGAATTGCATTAATTCTATGAATTTCTACGGGGGAAAGCAAGTTTGCTCTCCAGCAAAGCAGAGTAGGCCTGCAGATGTGGATTAACTTGAGAAGTTACACTGCTATGGCCAACGTTATGTTTTTACACACAACATCCCGAACCTGTGTTACCCTGCTCTTTGTGCAATGAATATAGAGAATATTTTTGTGCCGGAAAATGATTTTCCATCACGATAAATGATTTCAATGTAAATTATTATTTTACAAAATTAAAAATAAACATGGAACGATTTAAATAAATATACAAGGTTTCAGAAATAATATTCAGGCTGACCCAAGACAGTAGCGAGGGAGAAGGTGAAGGCCAGCAGGACAGGCAGGCCGCCGAGGGGGAAGGCCAAGGGTCCGGCCTGCTGCTCACAGTTGTGGCCTGCGTAGCCGCTAGTGCAGGAGCAGTGGTAGCCTGTGATACGGGGCGGCAAGTGGTGATGTTGGAGAATGGAAGTGACGTCGACAGTTTTAACTCTATTTTACAACACTTCTCTTTAACTTCACTTCTTGTTTGTTTGTTTGTTTGTCTGCTACAAATCTTGTAATCGAAATTTAACACACTTCTACTTATCCTATCGATCTGAAATTTTGCACACTTGTGTAAAGTTGGAGACAATGCATGAATCAAATTTCAAAATAAATGACTTTAAAAATTAATTTTTTTTATCAATATTAAAAAAATTGGAAAAAAAATAATTTTGTCATCTACAAATCTTATAACTGATATATGACACACTTTTACCTGTCTAATTGATCTGAAATTTTGCACACTTGTGTGAAGTCAGAGGCAATGCATGAATCAATTAACAGAAAAAATAATGTTGAAAAAAATTTATATATTAAAATAAATGTTTATATTAAAAAATTGAAAAATTAATTTTTTCAATATTCGAAAATTAAATGAGAAATTCATTGTACATCTGTAAGATTGGAGACACTGGATTCTTTGGAAGTGTTGTCTTTAAAAAGTAATTTTTAAACGTATATTATTGCAACACTTCTCTTTAACTTCACTTCTTGTTTGTCTGTTTGTTTGTCTGTCGGCTAAAAATCTTGTAATCGAAAAATTTAACACACTCCTACTTATCCTATCGATCTGAAATTTTGCACACTTGCGTAAAGTTGGAGACAATGCATGAATCAAATGACAAAATAAATGATTTTAAAAAATTGAAAAAAAATGTTTTCAATATTAAAAAAATGTAACAAATAATTTTGTCAGCTACAAATCGTACAACTGATCTTTGACACACTTTTACCTGTCTAATTGATCTGAAATTTTGCACACTTGTTTGAAGTTGGAGGCAATGCATGAATCAATTGGCAGGATAAATAATTTTGAAAAAAAATTTATATATTACAAATTGAAAAATTACTTTTTTTAATATATGAAAATAAGATGAAAAATTCATTCTACATCTTTAACATTGGAGACACTGGATTCTTTAGAATTGTTGTCTTTAAAAAGTAATTTTAAACGTATATTATTTTAGGCTGTAATGAATGACTTTTGTCAGTTAATGTTTCGCATTGATGAGTCTAATATATTATGTTATATGATATGACATAATTGTTTTCATAAAATTCAAAATGAAATCGAACTGGGGAGTTGAATCTTGTAGGAACATCAAGAAAAGACAGGAAAAAAAGAGCAAAATTGATTCTGAAGAACTTTTTTACCTGAGACTGAATTGTATATTGCATTCATTAATCAGCAGAACCATTTCCATGCACATGAAGACGTGCACTTAACACAGCTTCTTGAGAAGAAAAACAGATCATTTGTATCAATGAGGAATAAATATAAACAAATTAAACCAAAGAAGACGATTTCCGTATACCTAACAGTAACGTTCATCGTCTAATATAATATGATAGATTTACCTAATATTAAACCTTATATGCAAAATGTAAACTTTACAACTCCATTATTACGTCATCTTCGTCCTCAGGGTAGAGTTGATACTGTATCATGATACATAGTTGAAGAAAATTCCCCTACTGAGGGCGCCCATGCACACAGCAGTCATGCAAGGGTCTTTATAGAAAAGGCGGTTTAAAGGCTCCAGATATGATTATTCTTTTGTGGATCACCCTCAGCCAGCCTATCATGGCTGATTGGAATTTACAAGGACGCCATTGCAAGAAGGTATTCAGCTGGAGGTCCGTATTCTAACTCCCTCAATTTTCCTTGAAACTTGTGAATAAATATGGTATAATATCTCATGGGAAGTAGATTCCGTTAGGCTTAACAATTCATGAATTTGCGCCGTGGTTCCATATTGAAGTCTATCTTTTCATGAATATACTCATATAGGCACGTCAGGTGCTTGCAAGACGGAGTGTCGTTTGGAAAGATGTGCTATAGAGTTAATTAATGTTTCCATTTTAGTTCTTATGGTAAAATATACCCGCGCAATTTAACAGATGAAAGCTCACATCCCTTCAACCTGTCATGAGATGGTCTAGTTTGGCGGCTACATGCAGTGTGGATGCCGCTCCTGTAGGGATTGTCTCCTTTTACGGTATTTTCATCAGCACGCGGGGAGAATTATGACTTATCTTAGGAACTAGTGGCTCCTAAATTTGAATACTGAAATGCAATCCTCATCATCCATTCTAAGACACGATTTTTTCCTTGAAATGGTATTCACAGACCATTAGTCGAGTTGCACATAAATTGAAGAAACCGTTTCAAAACGGCTTTTTCTGACATTCTAGCAAAGCCACACGATCTTTCTTTAGGGACTTTTGCCTATAGTTTACCTACTAAACCATTAATAATACTTCCAGCACAACGCAAATTGTTACAAATTATTAAATATGATTTTTGGGATCATGTTTTGAATAAGCACCCATACGTTACTCGGGTGCGTAATCTAAACAAGGTTAATTGAATGAAAAATACAAACAAATTAAGTGTATTTAAACATTTTTTACTAATTATGATTCAAAGTAGAAAAATACATTGCAAAAATGCATTAAATCCCAAGTGATAAGCTAAACATCTTAGTCAAAGTATTTTGCTGCAATATGATCACATAAGGCTTCAAAAGCATTTTGTGAGAAGCTTTTTCGCCACATAAATTCTTGTAGATTTGAATATAAAAAGGAATAGGGAGGATTAATAAAGTTATTCTACAAGTTTTATTCTAGGGAGCGTTTTATCAAGAAGGATATACAAGGGTGTGTTTTCTCAACAAGTTCATACTGGGGTGCTTATTCTTAACAAGATTCGCCTTTTTTGTCTTTATGGTTGGTGCTTGTGAACAATTTTGTTCCCAAAGAGCCTGCTTGTCGAGTCAACGTCAACATGGAACTAGAAAATAAAAATAATAATGCATGATTACAGAATGTAATACAATTTCCCGCTGAAATCTGTGTTTTTATTATAATGAATAGAAATATATAATAATTTTCTCATGATGTCTTTGCCATTTTCTGAAATTTACAGTGAATCCATTCATTTCTTATGAATAGTTAAGTGATTAGAGTCGATGTTCTAACGGTCATTCATATCATGACAGATACGGTTGATTACCTAATTAATAATTCAAGTTTAACGGACAACAAAGATTGATTTATTATGAATTCAATATTTTTATAAACTAAATATTTTTATTTATATTTATTTTTAAACTCAATAAGCTTCATTTCATCATGCAAATTAGGATTATTAGACAGTGAAAGTTGATTTTATGGTGGAACTTTAAATATATCGATCCTTTCGCAATTTATCATTCTTACAAAATTTTCTACTCAAGATAGCTCGGGAAAGACACATAATAATCCATTTTCATAGTTGAAGCACCAATGCAAGAAATCAACGACTGAAATAAGATAAGTAATCAATCTTAGCCTGATCAGTTGAAAAAATCTTACTTTGGGATAGAGTTTCATTACCTGGCACCGAGTTAGAGCACGAGGCGAAGTTGAGGCAAGGCTCGTAGCGACACTCGTCCACATCCAGACAGGAGGAGCCGTCGGGACTAAGCTGGAAGCCCTCGCCGCAGCTGCGGACCAGGGGGCGAAAAAACGCTTTTTAGACCACAAACCGAAGAGAGTGGCATTTCTTCCAGCCCTATTGGCGGATACAAGCTATATTGCAGAGGTTTTACGAACAATTGACAACGGAAGGCATACTGCACTGAAGTTTTGTGTGGTAATTCCAGCGGTATTTTGTATAGAACAATACGTCGGTGTCTGTTTTTACGGGAGTCGACCCTGCATGTTCTGAGATTTTTGAGTTTGTTCTGTTATGGCAGAATTTTGCTCTGTGTGTAAGGAAACAGCGTTGTGTCGGGCTGGGTTTCAAGGTTTTGTTTTAGCAAAATAGAGCTCCGGAGCCAAGGAGTTT